ATAAGAATGAAATCATGAAAATCACTTTCCCTTAATTAAGAGTTGTTAAGCACGAAATCAAGAAAATTACCCTCATAACAAAAAGAGTTGCTAAAAGTGAACTCACTAAAATTACCCTCATAACAAAAAGAGTTGCTAAGAACGAAATGAGGAAAATACCCCTTAAAAAAAGAGTTGATAAGAACGAAATCAGGAAAATCAACCCCCATAACAAAAAGAGTTGTTAAGAATGAAATCAGAAAATTAGAATAATTATGTCACTTTTAGTCACTTTAAAATGTTTTGACAGTAAAAATATTATTAGCACTGATTTCATCACATTCCAGAAAGGTTTCAGCTAACCAAATTTAGATGTTTTATTTTTTAATTTATAAACTTTAGCGTCATCTGGTAGTATAAATCGGTAAGATTTGACATTTCCGTTTTTCACGATATATTGTTGTGTGACGTTATAAACATGATAGCATTTTGTTCTGAATTTGAGGAAATCCACAAAAATTAATACAGGTTTAGAGGATTAATGAATTGGGCGAGACGTAATGGTTAACATGTCTGCACTGTGAACTCGACGGTTCATGGTTCGCAACTCGTTGCTGCAACAATGCGCTTTGCATATTTAGGCCATTGGTGCGTTGTAAGAGTGATGGTCAAATCTCACTATTCGGTCATATAAGAGTAGTCACAGAGTTGGCGGTGTATGCTGTTGACTAACTGCCTTACCTCTAGTCATATCAGTTCAGAATTAGGGACGTTTATATGGGTTGTTTGTTTTGAATTACTCACAAAGCTACATTAGGGCTATCTGCGCCAGCCGTCCCTAATTTAACAGTGAAAGACTAGAGGGAAGACAGCTAGTCAGCACCACGCATCGCCAACTCTTGGGCTACCCTTTTACCAATGAAAAGTAATAAGTTCCATCAACGTCCTTTTTCCTGATTATGGTGCAACAACAGAAAACTATATACAAAAGTAAATCTGATAAAGAGTATGAACTCTGATAGTAAGAGATAGAACTGTTATTTGAAATGTTCAAACTTTCGTTCTTTTTTTTTTTTTTTTAGTTTTCTTCAGTAACACCTCCTTTTCTTTACGACCAACTTTCGGAAAGAAAACATCTCGGATATATGACGTTTGTAAGTGTATTGAAAATATCTTGAACGAAATGTGTATCGTATATATGAACGTTGGCAGTTGTATGTACAATCTAATTCATTTTATCTGAATAGCAACCGTATAATTATTTTGAAAAACAACAAACACTTTTTTTCATTATTTTTCCACGTCTTTTTACTGTGTGTTTTTCTAAACAAAAGGAATGTTTTTACTTGTACTTATATTTTAGTTTTTATTAGTGCTACTTTTTGTTAATCTCTCTTGATATGACATGACCACCTGTTTATATTTTTAGTGTCATATCGTGATGTCAGTCTTTCAAGTTGTTAGCTTCGCCCACGTTGTATGGGGAACAGGTATGGTAGCGTATTTATTTTTATTTGAAACTAGCGAAAGTACCCGGCTTCGCTCGGGTTATTAGGTTGATTTATTCTAGATGATTATGTCAGTGCGTGTATTCTGAACACATTTTAACATAAAAGTATAACCTATATATCTTTGTTGCTCCTGCCTGTTTATAAAGATAACCTTCCCTCTGATTTGTCCTCCGATTTTAAACTTAAACATGAAAAAAAAAGCATATTAATTAACGGAGCCTCTAACTTAG